AGACGGAAAAAGTGTCAACAGAAAGAGGAGCGTGAGCAGAAAGCACAGCTAACAGATTTAAGAAAATAAAGCCATCACACACAGAAAAGGCCGGACAAGTAATGGGGTCCCTGGATGAACCTGACAAGCGCAAAGGGTCAGTTAGCCGGCTGGCAGGGACCTGAAAAGGGAACAGTCAGCAAGACCCCGGAGACGGGAAAACAGCAGCACATCGAACACAGTGGGCACATGACACACGCGTGCTTCAAAAGGCTCCTGGAGAAATCCCGTTCTATCTTAGTTCAAGTTTTCCGTGACTTTTTGAAGCCCTTCATATAAAAGGATAATCTACATTGTGACCAAACTAGGTCTGCCCTGGTAATGCAAGGCTGTAAAAGCTAACAGTATAAATCAACATAAACTGATTTCACATGAACATAAAACCACAAGAAAGAAACAGATGAAAGGGTGATGTGCCCAGAGAGGGCATCAGAAATATACAAACTCCAGAACACCCACAACTGCCTTCAGGAGCAGGCGTGACCTCCTACGGATGACGGTTTGAGTATTCAACAAGCCAACAACAGCGGCAGCGCGGACCGATCTAAATGTGCTGGCTGCTCTGTCGGCTCTGGCACCAGGTGCTGCTTCCGGCGAGGCCTTCAGTCGGCAGAGGCCTGGGAACCAGGGTCTTGATGCAGCTTCCAGCTGAGGACCTGACACAGCAGGACCCGAGTGCCCGGGACCAGGCCACCAACACGAACCACAGGAAAACAGAAGCCAGCTAACTGGCGGCCACGGAATCGCTCTTACCTGTATTTCTTAAGACCGGTTTTCCTTTTTTAGCTAAGCCCTTACAGCAGTGTGACCCTGGCACCTGGGAAACGGAAAACACTATCTACGAATGCCCGAGTCTCATCTGCAGATTGTGATGTGACTGGGCATCCTCGAGAAGCCTCCCAGGTGGCCCTACAAGAACACAGCGGGATGATTTGGCTCTCCAGGGCACGTGACCAGCTTGACCAACAGGTAGTCGAGGACTGGTGCTAACCCTAGCCGTACCTGGTACCTTTCTCCCTCCGCATGCTAGATACTCATTCAACTTCAATATTAGTCTAAACGTTGATTGTTACATATAAAAACTGGCAGGATGTAGTGGGGGTGGTGTGTGTGTGTGTGTGTAACAGAATGGGAAGAGAGTTTGTACGAAGAACCCTTTATTCTCCTGCAGTAGTAAGAAGCCTGGCAGAGGGAGGCCTTCCAGCCCCGTGAGCTGGAGATTCCAATCACATTTTCATGATCAACATTGTCCCCAACTCCAGCCTCCTCAAGGTTCCCTCTTGTGGGCACGTGGCTGATTGCTTTCACTACCTACGGAGCCAGACACGTGCTTTTGCTCTGTAGGTCCGGAGAAAGCCACTCCCCTTCCCTGCCCCGGCACTGGTGTTGGGCCAGTCCTCCAATGTACTCAGGGACCTTTAGGATTAGGGTACAGCCCAGCTAGTTAGGTGTGTGGTTACCTGTAATTAGGGGGGCATCCCCCTTCCGAGAGGAAATAAGCCTCTGTTGGAAATACATTCTCTCTCCGCGTGGATCTGGTTCCTAAAATCATGGGGTCCCGGAGGTAAGCCCTTGCATGCCTTATCTTGCCTGATAACTCTTTAATTTTACCCCTTAATTACACAACCAGCCCTTGGACCCATTTGATTGTGGGAACTGGTGCTCCCCAGGTATGGTTTGTTTCAATGACACAATAAAAAATTTAAGAGGTGCCCCCCCACCTTCCACTTTCCCAAGCATTTAACCAAATGCTCTAGATGAGGAGATAATTACTCACTGATATCTACTTACAGGAAAAACCGTGAAAAATTACACCATACAAATTACTTCACTATCCTTCAAGGAAATGGGTTTTCTACGAAAGGTGGAACCTACAGATACATGTCTCAGGGTTTGCGATGGAAACAAGGACGGCCCACTGGCTTCCTCCTCCACCTCCCTGCCCCGAGCTGAGCAAGTGGAAGGAACTTACCAGTCTGCACGGCAAAGGGCCAAACAAGGGCTTCTCCTCGTCGCTCAAAATTCTTTCTGTAGAAAGCACAACGTGGTCAGGGTTAGGGTTTTTTCAGTCATTTCACTAAAATTCACTCTCTCTGCTCCCCGCACTAGGACCGACTTTCCACGAGCCCCCCGTGGACACAGAGCCAAGACCACTACCCAAAGGACGCCACGCTCCAGGTCTTTCTAGCACACTTCCCGACTGTGGGCTGCTTTCCACTCCCGTTTAAGACGGGGCTCCACACACGACTGCGCCAAAGCCTGCCCGTGACGCAGACACAGCTCCCCCCTCTTACCTAGGCTCTGGATGGTGTAGGCGCAGCTTCCCCAACACATGACGGGCACGCGGGGGTCGTCTTCATTGGGATGCACCTTCAGGCCCACCTTGTAAGTGGCTGTTCCAAACGTCCTTAGCATTTCTTTGATGCTCTTAGAGTACGGATTTCTGAAGCCAACAGGTACACGATTAGTTCATGGCAACCGTACGGCTGAGGTTCTTAAAAGCCCGATGCTATGCTAGGGTTTGATTTAAACCCCGCATGCACTGGTAGATGGCTGTGTGCTCGGGGATTACAGAGGAGCGCATCCCTGGTGGCAGAGGCGAGGCGGCACAGGGCGCTGGGTGAAACGTCACCCACCCCAATGGGGGCCTCGTTCCCTGTCCTGCCTGGGCAGCAGCAGCGATGCATCTCCACTGCTGGAGAGATCCGGTTATTTCGGGAAGAATCCTCAGGGGAAGCTGCTCCCACACTGACATCTAGGGATTCCCAAGGAAGACTGGCGGCCTGCCGGGCGCCTTGTGCAGCTCACAAGCCAGCAAGTGCCATGCTGCCCCATCAGGTTTGCAGTAAGCATTTAAAAAAAGGTCTGCTTTATTTTTTATTTAGCAGTTTAATTGGCATTTCATCCACATATCACACAATCTGAGTTCAATCATATCAAGAAGTTGTACAATCATTGCCACAATTAATTTTACGTTTTCTCCCTTGGACTCTATCCGTGTAATTGTTTTTTTTAAACTGTGGCATAAATATAAACAACAAAAGCGCTTCACAAATCTGCAGGTCATCCTCGTGCAGGGGTCATGCTAATCCCTGTCTCTTTCTGATTTTAGGGTACAGCACATGCTGCCCCAGCGAGCTCTTCAGTGAGCCTGTTAGTGCCTTCTTGAATAGTCAGCTATCTAAGGATCAAGAAACGTGTAAGCAGAGTACCAAACATAAACAAGGCAACCCCCAAACACACAGAGATAGGTAACTCGGGGGAAACAGAGACAAGGCAGATTGCAGAGGGCTTAGAAAACATAAGGATCCTTCAAGCGGCCAGCGGTGAGCCAGCAACAGGACCACAGAGGTCAGAGGACAGAGAAAACCTGAGTACATAATCCAGAACCTTCTCTGAACCACAGGGCATGGAACTTCAGCGACGAAGGGCTTCCTGAGAAACCAGCCAAAGGACAGACAAACAGACCGAGCATTCAAGGAAGAATACTGAAGGGCACTTCAGGCCCCGGGGAGACGGAGCCCAGCCCGGCGTTTGCCTCGGAGTGAAGTTACCGAGGGGCAGGGCTAGAACGGCGTTGATTCTAACAATGTCTTTGCCTTGGGATGAAATTCCCATGACCCCCCAGTTCTGCACTCAAACCCTCAGTCAAGCACATGGACAGAGCAAACGTTTCAGACAGAGTTTTAAACAGAAGGCAGGGGGACAGAGGGCTGTGGGATGGGAGGGCCCGGGAGAGGTCTGAGTGTCTGGCGTCTCGCAGCTCTGACTGTAGCACTAAGGAAAGTGCTCATCTATCAGCAGAAAACGCCGTACACAGAGCCACCCGGAATTTAAAGCCTACAGGGAAGGACAGGCAGGCAGTTATTCGAATGCGAAGACTGGCAACGGGCTTAACTCAGCATGCTAATTAGAAGCACAAGAAACAAGATGTCGGTGGAGCATGGTCCGGGCGTGGAGACACAAGGCTCGGGAAGGCTACCAAGTACTATTCCTATTGAGCACGTGCTGGCCCGTTTCCATGGAGAAGTTACAGCTGGGAGGCAGCTGTCAGAGGAGGAAAGAGAGGGCAAACCAGCCGACGTGCTGGCAGTCACACACCTCGTGCCCGTGGTGTTGGGAAATGGATGGAGCCGTGCAGCTCCTGAATCTACGAGGGACTTCCCACAGACCAGCCGTGGGGCAGGATGGTGCGTGTGGCCAGTGCTCTAGCTTCGATCCATCCACGGAAATACGAGGGGGCTTCAAACAGCTCGTGGGAAAATTCCAGTCCCTGTTGAGGACATTTCCCACGAAGCTGTTGAAGTCCCCGCTGCAGCAACCAGAGGAAGCACAGGATGTGGGGGGAAGCGCAGTAGGGCTCAGGTGTAGGGAAGAGGTGCTATCAGAGAGGCGAGGACTGGCAGTGCATCTGGGAGAGCTTGGGGACAGACAGACGCGCCCCATGGCTCCAAGGCCTTCATCAATGAGGCATCACGTGACGCTGCCACCTCAGGTTCAAGGCCCATGTCCGGTAACATGGCAAACCCTGTGTTTACTCCCCACTGACTTAATTCTTCACTTCAAGTGGACCAAACAGAAAGAGAATAATACAATATACTCACTTAGGATGAAAGTCAGGCCTAAACCCTTCAGGGAGCTGTAATTTATCTCTATTTTCGGGATTCTTTGAAGAGGCAGTCTCTGTAGGAACAGGCATTTTATATCAGTATTCAACAGACTATAGTATTTCTATCGATCTAATTCATGTGGGTCAAAGAAATTAAAAGACAGTAAGGAAACACATTCCTAGTCATGAAAACTGACACAAGAGTCCCGCAAAGCCTGCAGAGCAGGCCGGCTGTGCCCGACCTCAGCCAGCGCCTTCCTGAAGCCCCTGCATGTTTCCCGTGGGAGCAGAGCGGCTGGGTCGCAGCTGGGGAGGGCTTGGAGAAGGCAGGCAAGCTAACTTGCTCCTGTGAAGA